TCGACCGGTGCATCGAACTGGATCCAATTTACGCACCTCTACGTGCAAAAGACCAACATCGCAACCGAAACACTCAAGGAGGACCGAATAACGGATTCACAAACGAAGAAACAAGGAACTCCTCGGAATCAAATCAATAAAGGTCACAAGCCGGAACTCGGAAAGACAAAGGTCACTCCAACATCGACCAGACTACGACGGCGAGGGATGTCAATTTCAAGGGTCACGTGGGTATCGGCGAATGAGGATACGGGATAAAAAGAACAACCATTGGAACCGCCCGACCGAATAACTAATCGCGGTGAAAAGTTACCCCCCGCCTACCAGCACGTATATCAACACACACGTAACACTACTGAACAAACAACCACTAACCCACCGCTACGCACAACTACGCACTGATGATGCCACCTCGATTGGTGATGAAACGTTTGCAACCAAATTGCCCAGCTCAGCGAACAAGCCAACGACCAGCGTCTTAGGAAGCACGACCGCTTTATGAAACAGCGAATGATTCCCATCTAGCTGCAGCGAACTAGGATTATCGAACATCATGTTACCTCTAATGAGCATTTCTTACTGGGACAAATAAGTGTGAATGGTTGGACAATAGTTGTCCCAACATGTCCGTGTCGTCCTTGATATGCAAGAGGAGCTGGTACTCGTAAGCAATGGACTGTAGCTGTACTTAGGGTTTAATTCTGTTCAACAATCTCATTCTGACATCACTTTCTGAATGTGAACGAAGGCCACATATGAAAATAAGACACTAACCGGTTCTCCGTCATGGTGGGTAACTTGAATTTTTCGCATTCAAGATTGACTCAGAATGAATGATGTAGTGTTCAGACTCCTTTTTGGCTAGCTTCATACATTTACAGCGAACATTAAACGAGGATGGACGCTGACCGAGAATCATTGAGTTGTCGCAGAGTTTCGCCAAAGCTGAAATGCAGTGTGTTCCTTGGCGAGTTGAAATTGGGATAGCGTGTGTTCCGTTATGACAAGCTTTCTTTTTAATAATATCACTCGCCAGGCATTGAGTTTGTGCTTCAGTTCGACTTTGAAAATATCTTCATAACGTTTGAACTACAAATCAAAGATGGGACCGGAATCGAGCTCATAATGGAACTTCGCGATGTTGTTGGTGATCAAGTCGACGGAATTTGCATCTGGAGAAGCATCTGGAGGCCTAATTGTGAGTCTTCGCGTCAAATTTTCCATTGATCGCAACTGTACCTCCTCAGACTGATTTCGTTGTTGCAGCGGAATATCCTTCAACGCTTCAGTAGTTATTGTTATATTTGCCAATTTTCTCATCTACCTCAAATATGTTGTCATTAACTGCTATCCCCAACCCAGTGCCTTGGTGTCCGAGAAAAACTAGCCAACAAGGAACACAACGGCTTTATTGCGAACAAGATAGTGCAAAATTTACAAGGGGTTTCGACGTACGTAAAAGGCACTTTTGATATTGATCCAAGCTCTCTGATAGACGTTTGGTGGACATCCATCATCATCGACCGTGCCTCTCTAAAATGGCTTATCATCGTCGGCCGTGCTTCTGTAGCATGCCTGAACACTCGTCCACTGTTGCTAAATTGATCGGTTGACTGAGTGGCCTGGATGCTTGCCGGCCTATTGAGATTTTGGTAGAAATTGAAGCTCTGAGTAGGTTTTGGGCATTCTGGGATTACTTTCAGGAACCCGACCTCCCTGACAGATTATCGAGATAGCGTGTGGTTTAGAATCGCGATTGCCGCTGCAGATTGTTCATGAATTGGATAAAACGGCCATAACTCAAAAAATGGTTAACTGTTCAGTTCTTAGAAACTTGTCGATGAACAGTACATAGTTGAACTCTGTTCAAATTACAGCTTATCCCTGCAGTTAGGCATGAAATAAGGTGTAGGTTATAAACAGACTCTGGTCTTGTTCACAGTAACGAAGGATTACCTCTGTTGATCACATAATGGCAGTCAGTGGAGCTCTTGAGACAATTTATAAGACCGTAAGCTTCTTAGGGAGAAAGACTGCGATGAATGGCTAGGTAACGCACCGAAGTTTGCAGTTTTCATACCGTCTAACTATCAAGAGGAAATCAGATTCCGAATGACCGTGGGTGCTCCCTTGAGTCGCATCGATAAACTTGCAGTGGATTATTCTGCCTTCAAAATCACTCAAAGCTGCGTGACTCTAGGAAGTTACACTGAGTTCTACGAAAAGCAAGTTTCGTTCAGTTGTGAGCGGTTAACCCCACTAAAACTAACGTCTAAGTGCTAGTTAATCACAATGCTGACCAGTCGCCTGAATTCACACAACTAGCCAGAAGATCGTGGAATGGAAGCCTCCTGCAGTTTTGCGAGACGCACGCTGATGATGGTTCCCAACGGGAATGAAATATCTATACAGGGTTCCTGGGTTTTTCAGAAGTGATTGGCTCCACTTACAAGATGGCGTCTCAATCGAAAGTTTTCAACTCTCCTCATACTAACAACACACTTAACTGCACTACGGAGTCTTGGCAGGAACAAAGTGCCAAACGTTAGTTAATACACACAGCTACGCTGGTAAGAAATGATAGCTGGAAGGACTTCTTTTTTCTAAGACTTAAATATAACTAACCCTGGTCTCTGACACCATGCGGGAATGCACATTAAATCGGCGAAGATTTCCGAAAAGAACAACAGAGAATTCGGTATTTTCAATTTCAACAATGAAGTTCACTAAATAAATAGATGTATATTAAGAACAAGAAAGTCAGACATATTTCTGATGCCAATTTATTTCCTGTTGGTTACCCTCGACATTACTTACATCAGAGGAAGTTCCTGTATCTTGTCTGAAGCCCAATCGCACTGCCTGTTTTGCTGTCTCCACAAGCCAGGAGAAAAACCTGTATACATGGGCACTCTCGTATTCACCGTTCCAGATTTCGAATGAACGGAAATTTAAACCACAAAAGACACAGGAATGACCGGTTGGCTTCAGGGAAACACACACGAAAAAACGGCTCTTCCCAGCGCTGTTACATACAAACCCACGGCATCCATGGACTATCCGCTGTGTGACAACAGGTAAGATGCATCCAGATAAGCAATGTACCGCCCAGGTTGAGACAATAAAAAACTGGAGTTATCAGCGGGTGGATAGTGAAACGATGCATTTGACAAGAATCTGTCGCCAGTGGTAGATTTTGCACGGAGAAGACGGGCTGACCAAACCAACGGCGCCTGATTATCAAATCTATAAAATGAGATTTCGTTGTGCACAAATTTGTGTTTGTTCGCACAGGAACATTGAGACTGAATGACAGACGATTGGGACAGTGCACCAGACAACGGAGCACTTTTTAGTAAAATACAAGTAGATCGGTCAGTAGTTGTTATGCTATAGTAAACCTGGTAATAGCTCGATGATCACTGTGATTCCAAGAACAGACTGTCTCCTTATCTAAGTCCCTTCCAACTTCTGTATGCATACCTATGATTTGATGTGTTAAAATAATCCAAACAGTCGTAGTATTTGGCAGCAACATTCTGTTGAAACGTGGACACAGTTCTACTGAATCATGATGATATTAAATGGCATAACCACTCACAAAATATACTTGATCTCAAAAAATATTTTACATATATCACGAATAAGAAAAATTGTGCGAAATCAGTAAGCCAATGAAAACACACACAATGGTTGCATATGAAGTATGAATGGGAAAAAGGAGCAAGATTCTTTCTAGGCAAAGAATATCTTTTCCTGCTGATGTACCGAAATGCGGAAGTGTATATTTTTGCAACCCCAATATAAAAAAATGCGAAAAAATTCCCTAAGGTAATTGTATACAATAACCTGATGACTGAAACTTTGAATCTCCGCTCTCTATAATGTAATCCATAAGTGCGAAAGTTGCTATCCCCAAGCAGCACCTAACACCAACCTCTTATGAATGCTGAACTAATTTCATTGTGGATTCGGATGGCAATAGTCTTACGGCTTTGCGTACAAATATGTCACAAATGGTATAATAAAAACAGGCACCAATGTAGCTCAATGTGTTGGTCCTAGCAAGATTTTGGTAACTGTATGGAGTCAGTTTCCTTCCCTAGGATAGAATGATCCGAGAAGGGATAGTCGAAACTCTTCCATTTAGGTAAAGCATCCCTTCATTTTCAGAAGGATACTGATATGCTCCATGTTTGCAATAATATGTAAAGAAGCCATGGTCCGTTCGGAAAGCGAAAAAATAAAACAGGTTTTTCCACCATTTACCGGAAAATAGGTAGTTGGGTTCAGGTTGGATGGAACTAACAAAAGAGTGACCATTTCAAGGTAGCTTTTTAAGTGCGTTGACTTGTGCTATCAGCGTCAAAATGTCCAAACT